AACAAATTGATTGGCTGTGATCGTAGGGTAGCCAGCCCTTGATGTGGATCTGCACTGCACATAAATCCTTAGCAGGCCCCCATATGGTCTCACGCATAGCAGGTGTGCATTTCGATCAACAAATGTAGATGTACAAAATCACCGATTCCTTCTTTTTCTCTAAATAAAATTTCATCTGATTCTGAGCCCCTCCATTCTGCCTGGATTTGGGGAGATTTGGTCCCATTCATGATGGAGTTTATGGGGATGGAAGATGCTTAAGCAGTGATGATAAAATGAGAGCAGACCCTCCAGTCTGGACCATCTTCGTTGTTGCCTGTCCTCCTGATGGCCCATGACAGACAATAAAGGGTTCCCTTCAGTGAGGTTGCTCCCTGATTCTGTACCTCACATGGGTCACGGTGAATTCTGAGATTGAGAACCCCTGAACCTAGGGTTTGGGGACACTTTTTGTAATCACACAGTCAGCAGTGTCTGCCTTTTCAGAGTGCTGCCAAGCAGTAGCCTTGGTCTGTGTTAGAACTCGGTTCCTTTCATTTTTTTCTTTAAAATTTTATTCCTTCTGTTTTGTTTACTTTGCAAAGTACTCAAGCTACTAGGTGTAATTTCTTGCCTATTATTTATGCTTTTGTCCAGTTTAACTCAAACATCCTTTAAGGCAAAAGTACACACATTTATCTGCCAGCTTCATGATGGGAGGGAAGGAAAGGTAAAAGGAAACTAGTTAATAGCTTTCCTATGGCGTCCATTGTTGATGCTGTGTTATTATTTCTTGTTTGACACAGTGACATTAAAATGACTATCAAAATTCCATTCTTCTTTAGAATATTATCTTGTGCTTCCAGGTAAGTGCTAATCTAGGGGTAAGCAGCTTCCCAGGAATCCTTCAGTGGGCACTTAACACTGGAGCTTATCCAGCCTCTTTGGAGTGTAATGGAACAGGCTCTGGGTGAGGAAAGGTGTGACATTTCCTGTTTGATTCATGTCTGTCCTGTGACCAGAGGCCGGGACCTAAGCAGATATTCTTTGTGGACACAGCTCATCAATAACTCATTTTTAGAGAACTTGACAACAGTTCCAGCAATTTTCTCATTTAAAATTTGAGGAGCAATGTGGATCCAGAGATGAGAATGTAATAAGCTGGCAACGTTTCATTGTATCATTGTTCTCAGTACTTCTTTTATGTAAGTCAAGCCATTGGCATTCGCTTTTCACTGCTAATCCCATTACTATCTGCTAACAACTCTGTACTTTCTCCTGACACATGTTCCATAGATTTGGAATTGAAGTATTCCACAAATTAACAAAAGTGACCATTTCTGCAGCTAATGAACACTTTTCTAGGATCACTGAATACAAAATCCATTCTTTTTATGCCAAAACATAATCAGATTGACAATATCATTTACATGAAGAGAATGGAACTAGTGTTCATGAGGCCAGAGGGACTGGTGTAAAGATCATGAGCATAAAAGCCATATACTTGAATTTGTATTTCCGAATTACACCTATTTGGGTGAGTTCAGAAAATTACTTTCCCTTCTTTTGGCTTCAGGATTCCCATATATTAAATATGCTAGCTAAATCTTCTCTAATTTTCTTCTAGCTCTGTCAGCCTAGGATTTTATCAACCTAGAATAAAATAACCTTTTCCTGGTTGAGATGGACTTAATCACTACATAACATATATTTAGCTGATAAAAAGCAATTTACTAGTTTTTTTCTGGTCTCATGCTGCTCTTTGCATCCCTCCTTAGCTGTAGCTTTTGCTAAAGATCCTGAGAAACTCCTCATGACTCTAGTTTTTCTAGGGGTGGGGAGTTACATTTTATAAGTTCTTATGTTCATGTAATTACTGTGTTTCCAACCATTAGTGCCAGCAAATTTTAATTTGCAAAATCTCTAAATTCTTTGCAGAATAATGGTCCTCCCCTATTCTTGTAGGCTTTATGTCATTGGCCAGAACTGGGAATATCTGTCCTAAATTTCCTTTAAAAATTTGTATCTTAAGGGTCTAGGTTTACTCAACAACTTTTCATAAGTAATTGCTCCACACCAGGCATTGTACTAGGCACTGGGGATATAAACAAGAATATTAAACTGTCTCTGCTTAAGGAAGTCGTAGTCTAGTGAAGGAGATGGACTTGTAAATAAGCAACTACAAAACAATGACAGCTGGTAATACAGGTATAAGGACAGGATGTTATGGGACTGTAACAAAGAAATAATTCACATTCTGAATAAAAAAGAAGTCCTGCAAGTCTTCCAAAAACAGACTGCACCTTTAAATGAGGTGAGAACAACTTAGTCTAGAGTTTAGTGGGATGGACCTTGTGAAATAGAAGGAAAAAATGGGAGAAGGACCAGCGGTGGAAATGTTAGGAAGAAGGGACATGTAAGATCAAGTTCAAGAAAATATTCAAGAGCATAAGGGAAACGCAATGCAAGAGTTGAAGATGGAGAGGTGAAGAGAAGCTTTACATGTCTGGAGTTCATCTTGGGGGCTAGCGAAGCCACTTAGAAGTTTTAAGCATAATACCATCAAATTTGGATTTCAGATCATTGCTCTGCCTACAGTGGAAAATGCAATGGAAAGGAAAAGGCTGAAGCAGGAAGATCATTTATGAGGCTTTTGTGATCCATCATGAAAGGATGATGATGGCTTGAACCAAAGAGTTCATCAGATTTGGTGATTAACACCATGGAGGACCAAGGAGAGGAGGGAAGACAATGCCTAGATTTCAGGTTTGTCTCTTTCTGCTTTGTTCTAGTGCAGTGTGGCTGAAGTTTAAATGGGGGAATTAAACAAATCTGTTTGGAGGAGGTCATTTGGATAGTAAACAAACAAACAAGGATGGAGACAAGCAAGTCGATTAGGCTACTGAAGAAGTCCACTGGAGAGAAAAAGGGTCTAACATTCATAAAAGAAGAAAATAAGGTAAAATGCAGGATATCTAGCAGCTTGAATAATATTTACAAGTGCTGTAACAGATTGGATGGGAGGAAGGCAGCACATCAAAACAACCCAGGAAGAGCTCTAGGGTTAAATGAAAATTCCATCAAGGGTGACAAATATTTTGATTTATTCTCCTGGGACTGATCTTCAATTGACAAAGCTTTCTCTCTGTTCTCTCTTCATGCTTGAAGGATGACTTACAGTCACATATTATTTACATGGAACTTTAAGTTCAATGCTGGGAAGGGATCTATCGGTGTGCCAAGATGGTGTCAGGGAAAAAACAAGATGTCCTGTTACGCTTTTTTTTTTTAACGAGGGAAAGAAATACCACCTGTCATTGGGAAAGGTCACGGGGAATGTTATTTGAGGACACATTTACTTCATTTGCCATAGCCTCACTGTGTAATATATGAGACTGGCCTCAGTCAAAGCCAACCAAGACAGTCACGAAGAGCATTGAATTGGGGGACAGGTATGAGTCTTGCCATGTGCTTTTCTCAGTTTCAAGCACATATTAAGTGTTTAGAAAGGTTAACATTTATTATTTTCTGTTATCATTTTCATAGAATAAGAAGTGTGGTTGGTATTTAAAAAGTATAGAAGGGAGCGAAGACAACATACAAAAAAGAAGGAAAAGAGATAGGTTCTTACCTCTTACTGGCTTATAGCCCACAGGTCAAATTGGGCCTACCACCTATGTTTGTAAATATACTTTTATTGGAACACACCCATGTATATTTATTTACATAATGTAAATTCATTTATTTATACAACAGCAACATTGAGTGGTTGTGACAGACACTAAATGTCCTGCAAAGCCTAAAACCTTTTCTATCCGGCCCTTTACAGGAAAAGTTTATTCACCCAGAGTCTAGACACGGGCTTTCTGAAGCCTTGAAAGAGAGGTGCAGACTTCAGGTGAGTTCCTTGCATGAGGAAAGAAGGAGTCTGACAGAGGTAAATCTCTGAAAACCCATATTCTGAAAATGGAAATGTGAACTATTAGTTATAGAGAAATACATAAGCTGTGGTAGTGACCAGGAAGAGATGACAGAAATAGCTTTGCTTTCTTGAGTTCTCGCAGGATCATTTGTCACTTTCTGGTTTAGAATTATAGGGCTGGTTTCTGAAACCTCAGTGAGATGGGTCTGGGTTTTATTTGCCTCCCATCCATCAGGATACAGCTCATCCATCAGGAAGCAACTCAGAAATGTACTTGATATTTAATGCAGCTAGTTTGTGTGATCATTTTGACACTGGCATTTTATATTTGCCTCTAACTTGTGTCTGAAGATAATAAAGTTTTAACTTTTAAAAAATCCCAAATAATGTGCTCAACACATTCATACTCTTATCCCTAATCGTTAAAACTCAGTCCATTCTCTGTTTTCCTGTCTTCATCTCATTCTTGACCTCCACTGCATCCTTGACCTTTACTGGGTCCCTGAACCTTTTTCCATCCCCATGTCTTGTCCCATTCTAGACAACCCGATCGTCCACCCTACCCTATTCCTAAGCCATACTCTTTCTCTAGTGCTCACAAAGATTATCAAGGATTGGCTAAGTCCTAAGTGTGGGATAACAAAGTCTTTGTGCATATTATCTACTATTCAAAATCGTAATCAAAATAATGATAATAATAAAAGAAATGTAAAGGGTTTGTTGTTGATATCTCTGTAACATGTTCAAAATGACTGACATAACAAAGCAACCACTTTTCAAAACATAATATCTTGTCCATGACATGTAGAGAATTTCCTATAAATAACTAAGGAGTTACTGTCTCACATGCTATAGAATTTCTAAACCTATCCTGTACGTCCTGGAAGGGCCAAAGAAAATAGCATCATTTCTTTCTCACTTTTTTTTCTGCAGTTTTCATGCTTGAAAAATGATGTATTAGCCTCCTTTATTTTTTCTTAATGATAATATAGGGGGGGAAAACGAATAGGAATTGATTTATTTTTATTCAGTTACAAAGGAAAAAGATTACAAGATTGGCCTAGTGACAATATATCTAAAATTTAAAAAGCAGAGGAAAACATACAAAATTAACCTCACAAATCCAAGCAGGCCTGCCATTCTGGGCACAGTTCTTCTGAAGCTGAGAATAAGTTGAACTGTGATGTATTTTCCACTGCCTTTCTCCCTCTAGAGTGTGTTCAGCACCAGCCCAGAATCGGAAAGTGAACAACATATCTCGGTACTGTCTCAAGACACCAGTCGCAAGACTTTGAGCATGACAGAGTTACCGGTTGTTTCATCCCACCCCTATCTAAAGTGTGTGTCCCCTAACAGATTTTTCTGCACTTTAGCTTACTAATTTAGTAGCCTCTAGCCACATGTCGTTACCGAGCACTTCAAATGTGGCCAGTCCAAAGAGAGATGTGGTGTGAGTATAAAATACATACCAATATCAAAGATTTACTAAAAAAAAAGTTTATATCCATTCTACTTCGAAATAATCATTTTGATATATTGAGGTAAACAAAATATGTTATTAAAATTAATTTTACCCATTTCTTTTATAGCTACCACAAAATTTGAAATTCCATGTGTGACGTGTATTCTGTTTCTTTTGGACACCGCTGTTCTAGAGAAGAACACACCTTGGTGACACTCATTTCCTTATTCTTCTCCCAGACTATGGGCCCAAGGCCCTGACATAAGACATTGTCGAGAGGCAACATGATTAGATATGGGAAATTACTGGTTTGTGTCATTGGATGGGGCCCATGTAACTGAGAGATAGTTACGCTACTCATGGAAATAGAGCCGCTAAATAGGGGAGCTGGTGAGGTGGCAGATAATGAAGGTGAGGCTGATTCATAGCTGGTTGGCTTTATGTAAAAAACAATTTCCTCCTAGCCAGGCAGTGGCAAAGAAATCCCAGAAAGGGTATTCTGCTGGGTGTACTTTTATTGAACAAGTAGATGGACAGACAGCATTGTGACCAAGAGGTGTGCAGAGCACAGACTAGGTGGAAAGATCTCTGTGCCCTCCAATCACAGAATTGAGGAAAGAGATGGAGAAGACTGAAAGTCAATGAGTCCATTCCCCCAATAGCTCTCTATTGTTTTCTATAGTTAATAAGGTGAGCTCTGAAGAATTCTTTGTATATACAGATGGTGAAGGTAGGCAACTCAGAATTGGGGCATACACTTTCCCATGGCTGTCACCGATCCTCGCATCATTTGTCCTGGAAGAGAAGATGGGTCAGTTAGAGAGCAGAAATTCAGAGACATGGTAGAAATAAGGGCTATCCATTTAGAGCTGTACCACAGTCAAAGAAATCCACTGAGTCCTACATTCTGCCAAGAATTCACAATTTAAAATCGCTTTCACGTTTTGTTCAGTTGAGTCAATGCGCATTTATTGAGTGCCTAGTATGTACTACCTGTTGAGGAAGATACAAAAATGAACTCTGCTCTTGATTACACGTGACCCTCATGGTAATGCAAAGAAATAAATGTTACAAACCTCATTTCATAGAGGAAGAAATTGAGCTTCAGAGGTTAGTGATTTGGCCAAGGCCTCACATTTGGTCAGGAGTTATATCTGATTTCTCTAACATGAATGCTTTTACTATTATAGTTTGTCTTAGGTCATGAGAATATATTCAGCTATCTTCCTTGCTTGACTCATCCAACATTTATTAACTCTTCAAATCAACATTTCAAACATTAAATCATCAAATAAATTTTAAAAAAAAAGGAGGTAAGGGCCTCAGGAAGTTTTCTTCCACATAACCAACCATTGCAGCTAGTCCACCTGGAAACCTAGTAGCACCATCATTCCAAACTCAAACTTCTATTTCAGCTTTCATGTCAATATTAAAATTATAGGATTTCCTTTGGTTTGAGAGTAACAAGTTATGGTCTTGTTCAATCCTTGAAAACCTTTGTCATTGGATTGAGAATAGTAATTTATTCATCTTGCAAAATAGTATTGATATTTTTCTTAATACAAGAATTTCCTTCTGAGGTAGCTAACCTTTATTTAATTGAGACAATCCCTTCTCTAAAGCCCCTGCTTTTCAGAATCTCTTGACAACCAAGGGATAATGATAGAGCATCAGAAATAAAGTCAGAAAATCTATACCAGACCCAAGATATAATACTGAATAATTGATAAATTGCAGGATTTCTCCCAGGCTGATTTTTCTGTAAAATAAGAAGGGTAATGATCCCTGCCCAAATCACAGGACTATCACGAGAATGCAAAAGGAAAATCACATAAAACTCTATGGGATCATATTAATCTTAGTAGTTATATAATAGAAAGTACTTTTTAGATAAGGGTTTCAGGATCCTCAATCTATTTTTCCAGGAACGTTATGATTGCCTGGCCTTTTATTTCATTCTCAAGATTCCAGACTCTCTCGGAGAACCTTCTATCCAAGAACAAGGTTCAGGCAATAGATTCCATTCTTCAGGATATGCCTCCATAATAGTTATCAGAGCGATGCTGAGCCGTTGCCCACCTGTACCACCTTGTTGTATCCAAAATCACAGCACTGAATCATACAGAGGGAGCTGAAACCGTGCCTTGGACACCTTTTGTTCTAATGACTTGTTGCATCAGCTACATCATGAATAATTCCTACCATTAATAATGCCTGTTATGTAACTCTCGTGCAAAGAAAACTCCCAAAGCTGAAAAGAAGGCGCTCCCTTACGAACCTTTTGTGCTTAGCCCTGGCAAGATTCTTTATGACTTGAATAAATACATCTTATCAGTATTATCCTATGGCAACTTACTCATAAAGCAGTTTTTTGTCAAATTGTCTACATGAGATTTCAGCAAGGTGTGCTCTAAGGTGTGGTCTATAGGGCTCGTATAAAGATTATTTTTACCTTCCTGTTCCTCACACATCCGTGACCAGGTGTGTTTATGAGATGGGGGACACAGTATGTTCTATCAATAAAATGAGGGGCAAGTTACTAAGAATTTATATGTAACAAGATAGCAAACACAATATGGGGACTGTCGCAAAAGCGTAACCCCTCTCTTTATGGGTATGTAAAGACATAGAGTAGAGAGTTGGTTCCCTGATTTCATCCCAGTACTCCACCTACTCTACCTGCCTTCAGCTGCTTGTGTAAAATGAGAAATACGTAGCTTAGAGCTCTTGGTTTTCTAGTTTCCCATAGCAAGTTTCACTGGGTAGTTCTTTAGACTGGTCTCATCTAGTGGTGCTCACGATCCTTAAGCCTGGTAGAATAGTTTCCAGTTCCATTACTGCCAAAGCTATTTGCGACAGTGGAGGAGAGTAAAAGCAGTTGTGGATAATAGTAAATAATTATTTATTAAGTATGATTTATTAAAATACTGTTTGCTTGAATTAAATAGATATTTGTGACTATCAAAAATAAATTTACTAAAATATAATTCATTAAACATTTTAAAAATAAATAAGCACTGTGCTTATTTCTCTAAGTTCATACTTAGAGTCTGTTTCTCTAAGTTCATACTTTGGTCTCTTAGACATAATAATAATAGTGATAGTAAAAATAAATGCCATTAATTCTTAGACACTGCCTCAAATGCTTAAAAGTCAGTACTAACTGAATATTTTTCAATAACTCAGTGAGACCTTTAGTTTAGATATCTATGTGATTTGTCAAAGGCCTCACATATGAAGAACATCAAAAACTGGAATTTGAACCCATACTTATCTGGTAGCAAAAATTTTTTTATTTGAAAATTTCTAGTATTTTTCTCCATGTTATGTGTCATCTTGCTAAAGGAAGAGAGTCCTCAAATGCAGTTGTCAGGGAGAATGTCAAACTCAGGAATGTGTGTCAAAATATCCTTGTAGGAATTTAAATGAAAAAGTCAACTTTTCATTTTTGGGTGACAGTTTAATACAATGCAAAATGCAAGCATATTGGGGTTACTCAGCAATGGTTTAAATCCAGTTCTGCCGCTATCTGACCTCTCTTGGTCCCTGTCTCATCTTCTTATTGTAGGTCACAGAAAAGGAAATATACTCTGTGAAATTGTTAGTTAGGGCTAGTGCTACTGAACAATCGATGAAGGATCTCAGTGAACAGTAACTATCTTTCAATATTAAATACTAGATTCTTCCCACATATTTTAGCAACTACTTAATTAGTTTCACAATGAACACGTGACCAATTCTGGGGTTCCCTGACCTTGTATCACTTCCTGGACCAGAGAAATGTCCGTCACCCAGTACAAGAGAAAAGAAGAAGAACCAATTGCTCCTAACACTGTAATCATGGACACCAATGTACTTACAGAGGCTGGCATGCTGGGCAGTGTTGTTCCTGGGGTGCTAATCTCCTCACACCTCCCTTCGCTGCGGATGCGTGTATTAGTTTGGCGTATTCTAAAACAGAACAGAGTAAGTTTCAAAGATCAGACAAAACCCAAGGATCAGTGTGGGTGACATTTGGGCATCAAACCAGAACTGCAATTAGGGGTAGGGCATGGGATCTGCATTCACTTCTTTTTTCAACTCTTTTTTCCAGTAGGCATAACCCAGATTTGGTCTCTTCTGATTTAGCTCCAGATTTGTTCCCCAGCCCTGGATCTATTCTGTCACATTTCATTCATCTATATACTCATAGAACTGCTGAATGTTGGAAATAAACTTGAATATCATCTAGTCAGAAAGCCATTATGTTACAGATGGGGAAATTGGATCCCAGAGAGAAATTTGACTTTATTGGGTACCTATAATGTGACTTGAAGATTATAAAATATATTTTATACAAATATAAACACATAAAATATATAGAAAATATAGATTCCATACATAAAAATATTTTATAAAATATAATGAGACATAATCATATAATCTGAATTTTATAATTAGAAGAATCTTAAAGAGTGTGAATTTCAATGCCTTTCTCTTAAGAAATACTATATATCAAACATCTAATGTTTGCATCTGGTGATGACAAATTCACTGTCTAACAAGGCAGGTCATTTTGTCTTTGGACATTGCTGAAATTGATACTGCTTCCCTATAGCTTCCTCTGTGACAACAGAAAACAATACCATTTCCTTTTGCCTGGGCTAGTGTGAATCTTTTATGTTATACTCCAAGTTTCTTTAGCTAAACAATCCATTCTGAGGCACATTTTATTAATATTTTCATCACTGGAATTTCTGACTCTAAAGTTCCCTTGAAGTAGCGGTTCACTTGTTATGGGTTTATACAGTTTGTAGAATGCTTAAAGAACATTGCATAAATAATTTAGGTACTGACATTTACAATAAAAAGAAGATGAAGGATTTCTGGGCTGAAGATAAGGCCTCTATAGTAACAAATTCCTGAATGGTGGGACTCATTTCTTAAAGGGGGTTTTCTTAATTCTTAAAATGCTGTAAGATTTATAAATGGGCTTCAAGAGATTTATGTGCCCACAGATATTATGCACACAAATTGTGTCATATCATTTTCTTTTCTTTTCTGGAAAGAGGTAACTTTCTTCATATTATCAAAGGAATCTTTGATTCCCAGTTTTTTAAGGAACTATTGCGTTGGATATAATAGTAGTGTAGTGGAGAGAAAAGAAAACTGTATTATCCCCAAGTCATCAAGGTTAAAATCCTGTATGACCTACTTCCTCCTAACTTTGTGACTTTAAACAAATTACCTGGACTCTTTGAGCCTCAGATTAACCCTCTGTACAACAATGATAATACCATTCTATAGCAGGTAATGAGGATTCAGTGAGGGGCTGAATGTGAAAGTGCCTTGCCTACAGATGTGAGGACACATAAAGCACTTGTATAAAGATTTTATTCTAAGTATATGAACTGCAGAATGGCTTTTTCATTTATGAGTTACTTGAATTAAAAGGAAATAAATGGAAATTCAAATATTTTTCAAGGATTGAAAAGCAAGATATCAGAACCATCCTCCCATTCTGGGCCTTGCTTTAGAGTTTTAAGAAGGATAGAATATGCATAGACTGCAGTGTAAGTCTGGAGTGGGTGGGTGGAAAAGTTAAGATTCACTACGCTACCACGCTCTCATTTAAAGCTAGTCAAATGGAGACTGGGAAAGGTGAGGAATGTGAATGGAGGTGAGGGTAAGATAGCATATGAGCAGAAAAGGAACAGCAAAGCTACAACCAATAACGAAAGTATTAAAACAAATCCTTTGTATTTAACTTAAAAATAACAATTCTCAATAACCATATGAAGTCAGTTGGCTCAGACACCTAATTCCTCTTCTCCAACGAAGAAACTGAATCTCAGAATGATGAGGTAATAGGCCCACAGATGCACAAATAGTAATAAATCTGACAGCAGACGCTAGGTCTGCCATTTGCTCCACAGTGCTTTCTTTTGCATGCTACCTCTTTGTTCTCCAAGAAAACTCAGGGAGGATGGGAAATCCATGACTATCAGGTAGTCGTAAGGTCCTAGATATTATAGGCTGGGCTGACTCTGCAGAGCTATGATTTTTTTACTTTTTTTCTGTTAGACAAAGGATGGGTGATGTTTGCCCACTCATAAGTGACATGGGCTTATCGAGAATTTTCTCTAATTGTAACCCCACCACTGTTTCCTTTCTCTCCAACTCAGTAAAGTTTATAAGCGATTTTATTAAAGGGATAACCTTAAATTGTCTCTATTTTATATATGATGAAGAACATTCACAAAATTAAATTTTGAACTGCTATGATTAGCAGGCTGGTTGCAGCACACCTCAAACTACTATCAGTGCACTCTTGTGGGTCACCAGGGTAGTCGTGAATCTCTACCCTGGAAGATACGATGGTACGATGGTGTGGCTTGTATACTTACAGGTTTTCATGACAGAGCATGCAAGGGTTGTTGTATGTCTGGCCATCGTCACCACATACAGGCTGTAAATTCTTTGGACAAAGGTAACCCATCCTGGGCAATACTTGGTAGTGTTTGCACATCTCAGAATCCTGAACAAGCAAAACGTAAATCAGATTTGCTTCTGTGATACTCGAGGGATTAGCTGGGGGAAAAACCTCTTGACTTCCTCCATCACATTTGAATAAATCATTCATAAAGGAATCGTAAATAGGTCGGACAAACTCACATATTTATTTCACACCATTGTTAGGTAGATTTAACCTCCTGGGTTTGACTTCTTTTTGCTAGTGAAGGTAAGTAGCTAAAACAAGGAATACGGAAGAGCAAAGCAATAAGAAAGCAGAAACCCTATGTGATAACTGGGCAAAGAGAAACGGAAGCATGCCTGTAGGAAGAAAACTAAGATGATGGTAATCTTGCAAAAAAATGGTATCTTTTTTTTTTTCTTAAATGCAGGTGTTAGTTATATGTAATCCAGAAAGGAAAGACCCAGAGGTAAATACTAATTAACTGCCTGGGCTTTTGAGTCCCAGCTCTGACTAGAGGAATGATTTACCTCACTTCTCTGTATCTTAGTTTCTCATCTGAAAATCATGAATGTAATAGTTCTTGTCTCATATTGGCGTTTTATGGGATCAAATCAGATAATGAATTTAAATACATGCATAACACAGTGTTTGGAACATAGCAAGGGCTCAGTATATGTTAATTGTTAGTATGTTTCCCAAGATAAAAAAATATATTTTTCATGTATAAGATGGAATATATTTGTTCGTTGTAGTCTTTCAGGAGCATGAATTCAATAATAATAATAATAATAATTATTATTATTATTATTATTAATTAAAGAAAAATAGATCCAAAGGAACAAAGACAGAAAAATTTAAAAAGTAGAATTATGAAAGACTTAAATACAATTGTGTCAATAATTACATTAAATATTAATAATACTAAATACTCCAGTTAAAAAATAGAGATTATCAGCCTGGAAAAACAAAAACACTCAACTATATATTGTTTACAAGAAGTATACTTTAAATACATCTTATATTTCAACTAGTAGGTTGAAAGTAAAATGATAGAAAATATATACATGCAAACAGTCATTATACAAAAGCTACATATCTATACCAATACCACATAAAGTAGAATTCAGGACAAAAGATATTAGCAGAGATAAAGAAGAGAATTTCTAATGATAAAATAATTGATTAATTAATATCAATATCAAACATGCATGTATCTAAAGTATAGATTCAAAATATATGAGGCAAATATTGACCGAAAGGAGAAATAGGCAAATTTGCAAACATGTGGAAATATTAACATACTTCTTTCAGTAATTGATAGCACAGACAAAAAGAAAACAAGATACAGATTATTTGAAAAACAAAATTACCTAGATTGACTTAAATGATACTTATAGACCTCTATATCGAACAACTGCTGATTATACATTCTTCTCAAGTGCACATGTAATTATTACCAAATAGAAATGCCTGGACTGTTAAACAACTGTCAATAAATTTCAAAGAACTGAAGTCATAAAACATAAGTTTTATGATCACAGTGGGATAATATTGATGATAAATATGACAGCAATAAGGTTCCTAGGTATCTAGGAACTCTAACTATGTCTCAAAGTAATCATAATAGAAATGCTTTGAACTGAATGATAATGAAAATATGAACTGTCACATCACAGTAGCTAAAGCAATGATTTGAGGGTAAGTTGTAACTAAGTACATAATTAGAAAGAAAGTTTTAAAATCAATGATCTAAATTTCATCTCAAAAAGCTAACAAAAAATAAGCAAATTAAGCTCAAAGGAAATAGAAGAAAGCAAATAATCAAGAAGGAAAATTTATGAACTAGAAAACAGAACGAAGTCAAACATTTGTTGTTTGAAGAAAATTAGAAATTAATAAACCATTTGTAAAACTGACAAAAAGGCAAGAAATGAACATTATCAAAATTAAGTATAAAAAGGGGTGTCACTATTAGTATAGATATTTAAAGAATAATGTGGAAATGTTATGAATAATGCCAATATATTTGACAACAGATGAAATTAACAAATTCCTTGAAAAGGACTTTCTGAAACAAACATATATAAGAAATAGAAAATGTAATAATATTGAATCTGTTGATATTCATTTCAGAGGCTTAAAGAAGTATTTTTCTAGTTTGTTTTGATAAAAATTCAAACATATAAATGGACTGCTTTGGATTGTAGTGATTTCTATATCACCAGAGATATTGAGGGACAATTTAGATAAGTACCTTCTATGAATCACTGACAAAGGTAGGACTAAACCACTAGATTTTTAGTATATACAGAGGGTGCCAAAAAAATGTATACACATTTTAAGAAAGAAAAAAATATTAAAATTGTAATAATATATACCAATAACAAAAGATGAATATAAGCTACGTTTGACTTTTGCAATTACAAAGGGCACTCAAAGTGGTTACCATCAGCATCCAGACACTTCTGATTACAGTGAACTACTGCTTGAGCAACAGTGACCAAAGTGTCCACTTGTATAGATTTATTTCGAACCCCTGGTATATACTAAAATAATGTGTGTGTGTGTGTGTGTAGAGTGCACATATGTATATATAATATATTTATATTTTAAATACATATTTAGTATATAACACTATAACACACACACATATAAAATAAAATATTATTCTATTAGGAGAAAGAAGGAAATCCTGTCTTTTAAGACAACTTGGATGAAACTTGAGGGTTTTATGTTAAGTGAAATAAGTCAGACAAAAGACAAATACTGTATGATCTCACTTATATGTGGAATCTGAAAAAGCCAAACTCAGAAACAGAGAGTAGAATGGTGATTACCAGGGCTGAGTTTGGGGGAAATGAAGAGATGGCTAAAAAGTACCAACTTTCAATTATAAGATGAATAAGTTTTGGGATCTAATATCCAGCAGGGTGATTATAGCTAATAATACTCTATTATATACCTGAAAGTTACTAAGTGAGTAGATCTTGAGTGTTTCACCTCCAAAACAGAAATGATACCTATGTGAAGTAATGGAGGTGTTGGATAATGCTCTGGGGGTAATCATTTTGCAAAATATAAGTGTATCGGATCAACACATTATACATCTTAAACTTATACAATATGTCATATTGCAATAAAGCTGGGGTGGGGGGGAAATAACAGATTTTTGTGAATAGCTTTTCTCTATGCTTAGAGATCACCAGTGTAGTGCCTAATTTACAAGAAGTATGTAATTGTTATATGCTATTTCAGTAGTGCAACTCATCTATTACCCTACCTGAATTGGGCAAATAATTAGGAAACTTTTTGGTCTGCTGAAATTAGAGAATTCAGGCTCCAAACTACTGACCTGACCATCTGTGAGATAAGTCACATTCATTACACACTCACTCTTAAAAATTTCAAAAAGGTACTACATTGGCTTGAAGTGGGACTGATAACCTCAATGAGCTCAGAATAATGCACTGATGACTATTCCCAGAATTCTCACCAAACATGAAGTACATTTAATCCTCAAAGGACCAGAGGCTGTACTGAATCAACCTTTCCCAGGCTTTTCAATGGAAATGAGATTTGTAGAGGGCAAGTGGCAACAGCCCGCCCAAAATGAGCCAATTAAGTAAATAAGTAGCTTTTCAGAAAGAGTCATTCTTACCAGGGAAGTAATATGGGAATCTGGGCTGTCTTCTTCTTTGGAAGCTCTAATATGTGATGGCTTTTCTTGAAGTTTTGCCCTCTCCAAAGCTTCTTTCTGACTAAAGAAGAAAACAAAAAGTAATTTAAAGTTTTATCTACAAAGGTTAGCTCCTATAACTTCCAGTGGGAAGTAAGCAATTCTAATAAAATATGATGGAACCATAGAACATTCTATCAGAGAGCAACCTGGATGACATGTTAAGAAAAGCACACAGCTGGGAGCTGGTTTAAAGCTTTCATCACTTAATAGATGTGCAACCTTGGACAAGTTGCTTAAATTCCTCGAGTTTAGACTTTCTAGCACATTAAAAAAAACGTAGTATTGGTAATTCCTACCTCAAGGAACATACTACGAAGAACTAAATGAATACTGATTATTACTATTGTGTTCAGTGTTTTTCGCAACTACTGTCATCATCATAATCTGTCATGTCCATTGGTCTCCAAATATGGTTATTCATCAGAATGACTTGATGACCCATTCTTAAAAACAAATTCCTTAGCCCTAGAGGTTGACTTCATACATTTTGGGGTCGAAAAACTCATATATTTTTTTTTTTACACAAAAATACTTTTTTGTTGGGTCTGATCTTGCTGTGGAACAAAATTCTGGAATAATTTCTTGTAACTATGATCCTGAGAGTTGAAAAAACTTGTTTGTTTGTTTTTTAAGTGACAATTAGTAAATATGATGGTTAGAATTTACAGCTGAATAGACTGTTTCCAAGTGTCCGGCGTTCTTTCTCTTATATCAAGGCCTTGAATCTAAAGGCTTATTTGAAGGACCCTGTGGTTCATTTAAACAGCAGTTTCTAACAATGCGGTTCCCTGACAACATGAAGGGGTAACCGGAACCTCTTACTCACAAGACAGTTCTGCACATGTAGCACTGGTTTTTGTAAAACTTTCCATCAGCACCTCGCACCGGGTCATTCTCACGAGTGCACAAGAGCTCATCATTCCGCAAGTACTTCCGAAAGTGACCACACTCGTCCTAGAATATGAGAAAGGGGACGTGAACATGGCTTTTTCCCTTCTTGGCTTGCTGGGTTTCTCAAATGTGGTTTTAGGAGAGATTTTTATTTATTTATTTATTTATTTTTTATGGCTCTGGGCTCAGACTCACTGCACTTATCCTGGCAATGGAGGCCAAGGAATGCCCAGAAAGTCTAAACATTCCATCCTCCGTTTCATTCCGAACCTCTCTGCACTGGTCCTGGAAATGCAGGGAAACAAAACAACACTTGATAGACCTTCTTGTCCGCCTCCCTTTCCTTCCATCCTTCCTTCCTATCGCCCATTTTCCACATGAGGACCCTTGACCAAAGGACATTTTCACGGGAATCTAATTCTACAAATGTGATTATCACTGTGAAAGGGCTGAATGGGATGTCTTCTTCGCAGTCTTGAAAAGCAAATAGAAAAGGTAGCATCGTGCATGCACCTATTGATTTGTTGATACTGAGAAAACGATCTGGAGAAAACAGAAAAAAGGCATCAAGGAGAGAAGCGAAAGGGGCGGCTTTGAGATTAGTTTATATTACCTGAATTGTTAAAATCAATGTCAACAAGCTCCCTGATGCCTCATTTTCACATTTAGAATCAGATAAGCATGCACGTGAGGCGGTAAGGAATTTTACCCGCTATTTTTCAATCCTCATTTCTCCCAAGAAGAGAGACTAAAGCAATAATTAACACACACTCCAGGGGAATTCTCTACAAAACTGAGAAAAACATTAAACGTCAAAGTCAGAAAATCTTATTATATCCCAAAGTGATAATGTTGGCAAAATCAATTTTCTTTGAGGCAAAAGATTAGTATCTTTGTTATCCAACAATTGGAGCAGAATGGAAGATCTGAGGAGGAAAACGAAAATTGTTTTCTTTGTATCTTTTAAGAAATAACCTTTGCATTATTTGAAGGCTGGTCACGTGGTTTGTCTTCATCATCCCTTTTTCTTTCACTAGCTTCTCGCTCACTGCAGAATAAAAGAGGATAGTGTAGTTTTTCCAGGGTTATTTGGAAATTTTTTTAACCAAGTGTTTCTCCAATTCTAAACATTTGCAAATCTTACACTACTTTCTCCTACCTAAAAAATATCTGAGATACTTTCTTTACTAATGAATTGTGATTGTTAGAATTGTCACAATTTGTGGCAGTGCTATCAGCTTTTCTAAATTCAGTTACTATATTGTTATTCAGAATGATATGATTTTCTAAGGCCATTACTGTTTTTCCTTAGTAGAGTCTACTTATGGCTTGCATGTAGAGTTGCTTCAGTTCTCCTTTTTATTTCTTCTTATTAAAGTACAACTAAACTCTCCAGTACTGATTGTTCTTTACATAGTTCTACTGCTTTAAAGTTTACAAACATTTAAAAAAATAGTATCTCCTTGATTCCCTACAAATCTGCATTGTGAAATTATCATGGCCTTCATACACAGGAAGAACTAAAGCTTTACGAAGTAACCTGGCCTGTCCCACATTACTTAGCTGATACGTGTCCTCTTTGAAAGTCAATGATTTGGTCACTACACAATAGCTAACTCCCTCTCCCAGATGCACCATGTATGATTACGCTGCTCATCATCAAAATAACAATTTCTTATGAAAGTGCTTTGGAAACTTACTGTCCTCTTTAAAGTAAGGAGCTATTATTATATTTTTAACGTGTGATGCCAAGTGACTTAAGTTTTCAATTAAGAGGAACTATTTTCTGGCCAACAGGCACAACGTATCAAATGGATCAATAAACCTCTTCACGTACAAGATGCTCTGACACATTGCACACTTGTTGACATGCATCTTGCCATATGGACCTCGAACGGGGCTATTTTCTCTGGTGCACATGAGCTTTCCATCTCTCACCAAGCTCCGGAATTCATGACACTGATCCTGCCAAGAGGAGCAAAAAGATGTTACTATCCTAGTCTGATCTTAAATACTGACAACATGACATAAACTCATGACACTTGAAGGGGGGAAGTCTAGAGAAAATTAAATTCTAGAGATGGAATGTGTTTTAAGGGCGCTTTATTCAATACCTGCTTTGAATCCTCTCCACGGCATCCTTCTCAAATAATTGTCTTGCTCCAATGAAATTGCACTGCCTCCTAAGGCAGCCCATACCATTTTTATACAGTTCTCTATTAGGCTGAGCCCCAAAACCTGTCTCCCAGCAACTGTACCCATTACTCCACACAGAAAGGGCCCTGAAATGAACTAAAAGATGTTCTTTTGGCAAGACATACTAAAATGTAAACTTTTAGCTTTATTTTTCAATAACTATTTATTTATTTATTTATTTATTTATTTATTTATTTATTTTACCAAATCTGTATTATAGGCCAGGCACTTTGTTATGTGCTCTAATAGATTACCTTAAGTTATCATAAAAACCCTACAAGATAAACACTTATTTTTCCAGTTACAGATGAAGAAAATGTCAATGTTGAATTTGTGATCAGAAACCTGCTAACAACCAGGCAATCCTTTCTTCATTCCTTTTACCTGGCAGAGAATAAAACTATACATTCCTAAGAAGATGGAGCTGTATTGTTTTGTTCATTGAAAAATAAGAGCCTTAAAAAGAAGCCAATGGAACTGAGTCCACAGGATCTGGCCTCTGTTGAAATCTTTGGACAGCTATGAAATTTGTCTTGAATGTCCACTAAGCCCAAAGAGCCAAAGTAGAGCTATGGGAAGGTTACCTTAAAAAAAATACTGCTAGTAACTTAGATTGTAGTTATCCTTCTTCCTTTAAATTGTGATGCCCATAGAACCTACTTTTATCTGAGCATTTCAAAGAGTCTCTGGAATTGACTACCTGATCAACATATTATGTCTCGAAGCCATCGTTTTTAGAAGTTACTAGAATTATTTCTGTTCAGGTGCTGAAAATACCAATACATATATGTTTATGATAACACCCATCTTCCTGTATTGCAACCTTTGTTTTATGGGTTAAATCTCTGGCTCTTCCATTTATTATCTTTGTGTAATTAACTTCTCTGGGTTTTACTGAACTGTAAAATTGGAAAAATACCACCCATTGCATAGATTTGGGGGGAGGTTTAAACATGATGACGCAAAGGCTTTGCAAAGGTTATTTCACTTTTCCTGTGTAGATAAGCTCCCTTTTTGTCACACACACACACAAAATAAATATCTGGACATTTTCTATATATACATATATAAAGAACATTTAAATTGATCAAGACTATAAGTAGAATAGATGTCCCATAGAGGCCATTTGAAGTTGTACAACAAAACCTTTTCTCAAAGCTGTTCATGTACCAAAATGTAAAACAGATATCCCCAATCTGGTATTTTTTTATAAAACGATAATTACTATTCATGTTTCATTTTGTTTAGTCAGTACAGACCTAGTGAAAAGTTGCCTCATCAATGGGAAAACCTCCCTAGGGAAATTTCACTGTTTTACTTTTCTAATTGGAGTTCACAGATGGATTAGAAGAGATTGTACTGTGTCATATTCTGTGGCGATGTTGTAAAGCACTGAACATCATTTGTTAAAATACCAAATTGACCACAAGATGGCACTGTAATGCCAACTCAAGAATTTATCAACTAGCGCTTCAAGTTTTTGATCCTCGCTTTATTGTTTGTAATTTTGATATCTATTTGCTTGGCTATTTAAGACCTCAGAAAAGAAATTCACTTGATAACAACAATAATTTGACAACTGTCACTGGTCCTACAAATGTGTGGTAATTGCATCGGAGTTGCTCTCAGGGTATTGATTAGTGCATATTTCTTTGCAAGATCTGGCCATGTCTTTCTTGTTTACCATTATATCTACAATGACTGTGACAGAGTAGGCATTTCATAAATATTTGTCGGATGAATTAACCATACAACCAACCATCCCCATTTTAGTATTAGCGTATCTAACATATATTACCTGTTTTTCATTGTTCTTTTCTGTTGTGTTTGTCCTGTTAGCTTCCTGCTTTTTTCTTTCAGCTGCTTCCCTTTCCCTGGAATTAAAAAACGGAAAGAAACATTTTAACCAAAGTGAACAAACAACTCATTAATTACTAGATCTGCTTTTTAAAAAAATGCCATATTCTCAAACTGATGAGAAGTGATGATTACACTTTAAGATTCACAATTAAAGGCCAATTTTTAAAAAATACTCACAGCTTTTCCTTACACATAGCACACTTATTGCCATGTGTTTTGCCTTCTGGACCCCGGACAGGGTCACTTTCTCGAGTGCAGATAAGTTGTCCATTCTTCATTTGGCTTCTAAACTCATCACAGGTATCCTGAAAAGAAGGAAAGAATACATTGGAAATGGCTGTTTTCACATAGTATTTGATTGGACTTGAAAATCTGAAGATTTTGACTAAGAGTGAGGCAGCCACTGAACCTTGCTGTGAAAGGGAGTATAATGGCCCATGAAGACTTCCACAGCCTAATTCCTGGGACTTGTAAATATGTTGGCTTACACAGCAAGCAGGAATTAAGGTCTAAGAAGGAATTTAAAATTACTAATCAGCTGAAGGACCTGAAAAATGGAGAGATTATTTTGGATTATCTGGGTGGGCCAATGTAATCACAAGGGTTCTTATGAGTGAAAGAGGAAAGCAAAGTGTCAGTGTCAGAGTGATAAAGCATGAAAAAGATTTAACTGACCATTACTGGTTTTAGATGGCCACAAGCCAAGGAGGGCAGGCAGCCTCTAGAAGTTAGGAAGGGCAAAGAAACAGATCCTCCCCTAAGAACCACCATAAAGAAATGCAGCCCTGCCAACACCTTGGTTTTCACAGAGTGAGGCCCATTTAGGACTTCTGAACTTCGGATATGTATGAAGATAAATTTGTGTGGTTTTAAGCCACAGTTGGTGGTAACTGGTTATGCAGCTGAACCTCATTTCCCCCATCTATAAAGTAAGAGTTAAAAAATGTATTCGACCAGGCTGTTGAGAGAATTAAATAAGCTACAATGTATAAGAGTGTTTTGTAAAGTGTTAGATTGAAAGGTCTCCATAGGGCATTAAATTTCCATACTGAACGAGTTACCAGTGATATTTACATTAATGACGGCTTCCGATCTAAGGGCAAGCAAGGTCTTGGTTGGCAACAGTGGCACGCTCTTTCTATAGTTTTGATAAGCCAAGTGTTGACTTAACTGAAAGACCATTCTTGCCAAAACCTAGTTAATGACTCACCTTTCCTGACGCTGATTCAGTCCCATTTGCTCTATTGCCAGAATTATTGTTTCCATCTGCTTCTCTTAGCCTGAAAGACAAGAGTCAATAGTCATCTTGTTAACACGTACTCAGGTTTCAAAGAAGCCATGAAGTTTATGTATCCAAAACCTGTTCCTTTACAGAGAATCTCTCTGCCTGTCCCCATGATGGGCAGTCAGCTCAGTTATTAAGCAGCTCTGTCATCACGGGTAGGGTAGATCAACTCAAGTAATTTCAAAGTCCCCTTTATTTGTGTCCAAATGTATCTTCCTATAACTCCCATTCTTTCGTCTTACTTCACATTCTCAGGACAACGAAGAACAAGCCTGATGAATCCATCACCTCTCCCTGATATTAATCCTTCAGATATTGGAAGGCAAGTTTCAGGTCTCCAAGACCAGCTTCCTCAGTTCTTTCACCTTTTCATCATGAGCTGTGGTTTTTAAATTCCCCACCAGCACACCATTCTAGTTCCTTGATACGCAGGTCAACCTATTATCATATTATTTCTTAAAGTGCGGAGTCCAAGATTAGAAAGAAGACAAGTGATCTAGAAAGTACCTTAGGATCATGATTTTTTTGTTTTGTTTTTTTTAAAACCTCTTACCATTTGGATAAATTTTTGATGTCGGTGGTCCTTAAGTCTTCATGTGCTTTAGGAATCATCTGTGCAATTGTTTGAAATTCAAATTCAGTGACCATTTCAACAGTTGTATTGACAAGATCTATCGGGTTGTCGGAAAAGTCATGACGTATTTATTCTGTTTTTCTTTGCAAAAATGCATCATGACTTTTCCAACAACCCAATAGATTGGGACTCAGTAACCTAATTTTTCATAAGCAAGCCAGATGTATTTTGCCCAATATCCAAATAATGAAAATCTCTAGTACACATATTTCTCTTTCAAAGTTTCTTTAGTTGTTTTTTTTTCCCACAAAACAAACGTGTGTGAATCTATATAACACAAATATACATTTGTGTTAGGAAGTTCCCTTTGAGTATGTAAGAAATAGGGAAGTGGTAGTAAAATATATCCTGAAGATTCAATCATAAAGTCAGGAAATTTTAATCAAGTCAACTACTGGAGAAAGAGGGAGCCTAAACTGATTCAACTTGGTGGAATAACAGTTGTAGTCAGGGCTTGCTCAAAAACCTCCAGTGGCCTCTGATCACACATAGAATAACATCCAAGGTCCTTCTCTTGGCCTAAAAAGCCTTATGCGATCTTTTCAAGCTCATGTCTCACAATTTTCCCTGCAATGACCTCGACATACAGCGACCTCCTTTGTGTTTCTTGCTAAATTCATACAGATCTTCGGATCTTTGTGTTGGTTCTTCTCTGCCTGAAACTTTTTTCCTCCAGATATCCAAATGGTTTACTTCAGCCCTTTTTACAGGTCTCCCTCATGTGTCAGGCCTTCCCTGAACACCATAAACAAAATAGCAACCTCAGTCCCTTCCTGTGGCCTTTCTCTGCTTTACTTTTCTGATTACCATCTGGCCTCGCGTTATGTAGTTACTTCCTTATTTGTTTACAATCTGTTCTATATCAGTGTTATATTATAGATCCATAACAGCAGGAAGTTTGTCTCATTCTCTTGAAGTGTAATTATCCATGAACTGTGCCTGTTACATAGCTGACAGTCACACACCATTTGTTGTCAGATAAATGGTTTACAAAGGTGGTAAAAAATTATTCCATTTATGTTGTGTTTTGTTAAATACGCCAGGTAAGTATCGTATAACATAGGTGACACTGATCACATCAGAAAATTTTATCTTAATAACTTTCTACATCTGAGCATCATTTGTTCTTTCACAAAATTATCCACCATTAATATGTGATGCAGAAAGAAACAAAGGCATACGTGAAAAGCTATTTCAATTATGTTTGTCATATCTGCAAAGTGTAAGTTGTGCAGAAATGTTATAGTATAAGAGAGCCTAACATTATTTATTATTTATTAGTAATGGTGATACCTATTATTTACTGAACAAAATGACAATGCTAATAGTGCCAAATCATACTTATCGCATGCTTACTTTGTGCTAGCACTATGCTATGAGTTTTACATGGGTCCTCTCATTTAACTTTCAAAGGAAACATTATTGGCTACTATGATTATTGGTGCCCTTACCCCCATGATAAATATGAGCAGTTTGAGGCATAGGGAAGTGAAATAATTTGTTTGAGAACGTGGAGCTGAAATAGCCATCTGGTACTAAAGCCCTAGCACTGCCCCACTCTGCCACCCTAATTCTATTAAAGAATGTTTACAACGTGAATTCAGAAGAACTGAATTCTAGTTTTATCTCTGAAGCTTCCTCCCCCAATGGACCTTGAACTGAAAAAAAAAACAAATCAGTAATTCTCATCTGTAAAATGCAGCATTTGGAGTACTTAGATTTTCTCATATAGCCTATACTATTACATTATTGAAATTTTTTTTTCAAGGAGAAAGGT